GAGTGCGGGCGGTGGTAGGGCGTGTGCCCACCAGGACCTGGCTGCTCAGGTGGGTAATACGGTCATTTCCCCTCCCCTGTAGACGCTGGCGTATGTGCTGCCAGTGATGCAGGCCCTGGTGGGGCACGTGGTGTGATGAGTCAGAGTGGTGTTTGTATTGCCCACTCGAGACCTGGCTGTTCAGTGGGTGTTATGGCGTTTCTGTGCACACATATTGCTGCCGTGCCCTTACACTCCCTTACTCGCAGACAAAGCCGAGTTTCAACCGTTACCCTGCTCTCCCACCCTTGCCCCGCAACTTAACTTGTCTTTCTGTCCAATATACAATCCTGCTCTCCCCTTCTTCCTCTCTCCCCTTCCTTGCCCCCCACCGTGCCATTCTGCCTACTACTGCAGGTGAAGCACGTGTTTGACACCATAGCGCTGGCTGTCGGCCTTGCAATGGCTCTCGTCATCAAATCATAGCTTGCTGACGAGGCAACCAACCTCGTGCCGCACCCTGCCGCCCGTTCTGGCCCCTTGGGCCCCCTCAGTCACTCAAGATACAGACAGGGAAACGGCTACAGTAGTGGCCCAATTCACGTCGCTCACCCTCGTCGCTGCCGCTGCCGCCCCTTCCGCCACCACTGCTGCCACGTCAGCAGTCGCCGGCATGCATGCTGACATGGCAGTGAGCATGCCAGCTATTTGCTCCTAGTGTCGTAATCCCGCGTTCTTGCTCCTCACATTTTCTCTCATCTTTTCACACGCAACCCTGCCTTCCCATCTCCCATCCCTTCCTTCCCATCACTGCTCTCCCTGCCTTCGCATCTGCCCAATTCATCCCCTTCTTTCCTGTTTTTCCCTTCCCTGCCCTCCCCGCTGCCCTTCCCTTCCCTGCCCCACCCTTCCCTTTCCCATCCCTTCTCCCTTCCCTCCCTTGCATGCCCTCCTCTCCCCCTCAATCACTCGTCACCGTCTACCCTCTAGTTCTTGTGCATGTAGTGCCATCACTTGCTTGAATTCCTTTGTTGCTTCTCCCCTTCTGCCTCAGCACCTTCCCATTGGGCCTTACACAATCGATTTTGCCTACTCTGCCAATTGGCTGTGTTGAAACAGAGAGGAGGCAGCAGTTACAAGCAGAGGCGTAACTAGTGGATGTTTGTCACCACTATTGTTTTGTCTCGTATGCGTTGTAATGCAAATATGGTAGTGAGTTATTTCTAGAGATATCGGCCATGAAGCCCACCATGTACTACCATGATTAAGCAGTGCAAGCTGGCCTTCCAAGATGCATGGACAGGTGTAACATCACACACGAGTAGAAAGAAACATGTTCTCATATAACTTTAGACTGTAGGCCAAGGCCAGAAGAGCAATACCGTACTATAGGGTGAGGCGTGTTGAAGCAACAGTCACTGAAATTGTCAGGGAAGGGGAAAGAATCCGAGGGCGGGGAATAAGAAAATGGTAATGTTTCAACCACAGGCTGTGATGAGAGGAATCAGCGGGGAGGGGGGGAGGATGAGGGAATCAAGTGGGGAGAGGTGGGGGGGGGGGGGGGGGGGGGGGGGGGGGGGGGGGGGATATGAGGGGAATCAGGGGGAGAAGTGAGGAGAAGCAGGCTTGGAGGGCATGTGAGGAAAAGCACATTGAGATCGCTTCCAGCGTTGGGGGACGGCAGGGAAGGTAACAAGAGAGAGAATAGTAGAGCAGGGAGGCCTGCGGAGGGCACAGTGAGGAGGGAAATGAGGGGAAGCAGGGGGGGGAATGAAGGAGGCAGGAGGGGGCGGGGGATAAGTGAGGAGAAGCAAGGAAGGGTTTAGGGAGGATGCAGGGAGGGGAGATGGGGAAATATGCAGTGGATATGGGGAAGCAGGAAGGGGAGAGAGGTATGCAGGGCGGGAAGATGGGGATGCAGGGAAAGGAAGGGAAGAGGGGTTGAGAAGATGGGGAGGAGGGAGGTTAGGGAGGGAAGGGCGAGAAGGGAGAGAAGGGAGAGAAGGGAGGGACGGGAGGGAAGGGAGAGAAGGGAGGTTAGGGAGGGAAGGCAGGGAAGGGAGGGAAGGAGGGAAGCGAGGGACGGGAGAGAACGGAGGGAAAGGAGGGAAAGGAGGGAGGGAGGGAAGGGAGAGAAGGGAGAGAAGGGAGGGAAGGGAGGGAAAGAGGGAAGGGGGACAGGGAGGGAAGGGAGAGACGGGGGGGGGGAAGGGAAGGGAGGGATTGATGGGAAAGGGGGAAGGGAGGGATGGAGGGAAGGGAGGGTAGGCAGGGAAGGGAGAGTTGAAGAGGGAGGTAGGCACGGAGGGACTGAAGGGCGGGAAGGGAGAGAAAGGGCGGGAAGGGAGAGAAGGGCGGGAAGGGAGAGAAGGGCGGGAAGGGAGAGAAGGGCGGGAAGGAAGGGAAGGGCGGGAAGGGAGAGAAGGGCGGGAAGGGAGAGAAGGGCGGGAAGGAAGGGAAGGGCGGGAAGGGAGAGAAGGGCGGGAAGGGAGAGAAGGGAGGGAAGGAAGGGAAGGGCGGGAAGGGAGAGAAGGGCGGGAAGGGAGAGAAGGGCGGGAAGGGAGAGAAGGGCGGGAAGGGAGAGAAGGGAGGGAAGGGAGAGAAGGGAGGGAAGGAAGGGAAGGGAGGGAGGGAGCGCAGGGAGAGAAGGGAGGGACGGGAGGAAGAGAGGGACGGGAGGAAGAGAGGGACGGGAGGGACGGGAGGGACGGAGGAAAGAGGGACGGGGAGGGACGGGAGGGAAGAGAGGGACGGGAGGGACGGAGGGACGGGAGGGACGGGAGGGAAGGATGGGAGGGAAGAGATGAAAGGGAGGGAAGGCAGGGAAGGCAGGGAAGGCAGGGAAGGGAGGGAAGCGGCGATGCGGGTAGGGACGTGGCGGAATGGGGTTGGATGGGGAGATAATGGGGACATGGGGATGCAGAGAGGGGAGATGGGGATGCAGTGAGAGGAGGTGTGGATGCAGGGAGGTGGTAAGGGGAGAAGGGGAGGTTTGAAGGGGAGAATGGGAGGCGGTAATGGGAGATCGGGAGGCCGTAAATTGGGAGAGGGCAGCGGACTAAAGATATTGGGAGGCGCACGAGGGCCCGCAGTGTGTGGCGCGGCCCGCGTGATCGCGGTGGCGTGAGGAGGTAGCGTGGGGCGGCGAGGCGCCGCTGCGAGCAGATTTGTAGCGCGACGCCGCGTGCGGATTTGCGGATAGGTGGCGCCGCGAGCGGATTTGCATCGATGCGACTCCGCGTGCGGATTTGGTGGTACGATACGCTGCGCGGGGATTTGCAGCGAGGCGACGCCGCGAGCAGGGATTCACGACGAGGCGACACCGCGTGCGGATTTGCGTCGATGCGACGCCGCAAGCGTATTTGCGGCGATGCGACGCCGCAAGCGGATTTGCGGCGATGCGACGCCGCAAGCGGATTTGCGGCAATGCGACGCCGCGAGCGGATTTGTGGCGAGGCGACGCCACGACGGGCTTTGAGGCGAGCCTACGAGGCAGCAAGTTGCGGTGGGGCGAGGACGCTACTAGGGGCTCGATGCAAAGGCGATTTGCGGCGGCTGGATTACGCAACAGAGATCGACTCTAGGCTGCGTGGGGAGGCAACGGGATTTCTACGTACAGTGCGGTGAAGCTACTACACGGCGACGCAGCGGCGACGGAAGAATGAATGCGTATTCGGCTAACGCTGGCGCCGGCGCAACCTTCGGTGTACGACGTAACTCTAAGCTCCGAATTTCAACGGTGTGGGTAGGACTGTTCTAGTAGCGCACGCTAAGAACGCTACGTGAGTGAGCTCCCGCAGGGGAAACGAATTACTAGTATACTTTTGCCATCTAAACTCTTTTGACGAGAAACGAGGGGCTTGTAATTCGGTAATTCGGTAACCACCATGTACCTTTTATAAACTTTTGGCACTGGCCCTACCAAATGTATTCCGCTGCTTTAACGATCTAGGCCCTCCCGAATTGGTTACGACCGCGGTGTTCAGCATTGTACAATCTCATTATATAGTGCATTTTCACCTCCAAAAAAAAAAAGATCGATCTGAAATCTAGCTAGATTCTGCAGTTGCTTTCTGTGGTAATGTAAGAAGGCCATTCCGAGTAGTTACTAACCAGCAACCTCATGACAAGCTACAAGGTTGCGACCTTATAACCAGAACACCGGTTTAGAAGAATCCTACCCTAACTAAATACACCAATCTCTTCAATTCACCACTATCTTCTATCCGGGCGATGACGGTATAACGGCACTTCTGCCAGCATCCAGTATCCATGCGCGCTCTGTCATTCCGATTGGCTGTGCAGCAGGCGGTGGTCCGCCCCGCCACCAGATTCTCCACCACCTCCCGCAAGTTGGTGCTCAAGTGCACGGTGGACTCATATTTGGGTTCAAGCTTGACGACTCATTGGCCTAGGCTTTAATCCCATAAAGTCATTCCGACTGGCTGTACAGCAGGCGGTGGTCTGCCACCAGATCCTCCACCACCTCCCTCACCTTGGTGCTCCAGTCAGCGGCATTATTTTCTGCATTCACCCCCTCAGTCAGTCCAACTGGCTCAGTCCGATTGGCTCAGTCACTCCGACTGGCTGTACAGCAGGCGGTGGTCAGCCACCAGATCCTCCACCACCTCCCTTACTGGCCTGGCTGCTGACTTGGGCACCATGGCTGCATACACCATGGGCGGGATGTCCTGCGGGGGCAAGGAGATGGGGAACAAGAGAGAAGGGAGATGGCATGCTTAACCACCGTCTCCCCCAATGGCCTGGCTGCTGACTTGGCACCATGGCTGCATACACCATGGTCCATGGGCGGTATGTCAGCGGGGGCAGGGGGAAGGAGGAGAGAAGAGGAGAGAATGATTGCTTAATCACCACCTCCTTCACTGGCCTGGCTGCCGACTTGGGCACCATGGCTGCGTACACCATGGGGGGGATGTCTGGGAGGGCATGGGAGGAAAGGAGAAGAGGGAACAGGGTGTTCACAGGCTTGACCACCTCGTCCTTGGTACATGTGGAAGTGCTGAGCAGCATTGGCTGCATACTCCATGCGGGGAATGTCTGGGGGGGCATGGGAGGAAAGGAGCAACAGAAAAGGTGTTCCCAGGCTCAACCGTGCCTCGTCCCTGGCACATGTGGAGTGCTGAGCAGCATGGCTGCGTACTCCAGGGGGAATGTATGGCGACTGGGGGCATGGGAGCAGAGCAGGGGATGGAGGCTTGGAGGTCGGAATGAGATGAGAGTGAGTGTAGACGCCCAAAGAGTTGCTTGTGGTTGTTGTTGATGAGTCGAAGCAGCACGGGCACATAGACCATGCACTGCCCGACAGACAGCCATCTCTGCCTGTCGGCTCTCACTGCCTGACAGCCGTCACACGATGAACCCAATCAGATGCTTGATGTAAAACAAGACACTCGCCATACCCAGGCTGCTCATGATCTCCACCAGGTCCATGATCTCAATGATAACACCCTCTCGCCCGCACCTCCTCTCCCATTCGAAGAGAGAGAGAGCAGACATGACCGGCCCTCACTGCTTACCCAGGCTGCTGATGATCTCCACCAGGTCCATGATCTCAATGCCTGACAGCCCTGACACGATGCACACCCTCTCGCCCACGTTGTTCGGGCCACACGCTGCTGCTGTCAGATGCCTGTTCTCACGATGTGCGGAGGGGACAAATGCAGGAGTAATGGGGACGAATGATGACTAGTGAGTGCCTTGGCTGCAAGATTTCTGTCCCAACACAGCAGCTCACAGCAGGCAGCAGCACACAGCCGGCAGAGCACAGCAGGCAGCGCACCTGTGGTTGCGGGGCAGCGGCTACAGATGGCGCACGCACGGAGGGGAAGGGCTGGGCGGCCCTCTCCATGGCGTCCCACAGAGTGATATCCGCCACTGACTCGTCTGCTGATAGCAGCTGATGGGGACGGGCAAGACGGTTGGGTGCGGTTGGGTGCGATTCAGAAGGGTTGATGGGGACGCAAGGACAGACAGAGGGTAAAGAGGGAGGGGCTGGCCTCTCCGTGGCGTCCCACAGAGTGACGTCCGCCACTGAGCCGTCTGCTCCAGCAGCTGATGGGGAGGAGCAATACGGTTCGGTGCGGTACAGAAGGGTTCGTCAGGATAGTGTGAGTGAGAAAGGGTATTCCACAGAGTGACGTCTGCCACTGATTCGTCTGCTGATAACAGCTGATGGGGAGGGAGGGGCGAGGCGGTTGGGTACGGTTAGAAGGGTTGATGAGAAGGGTTGGGGGAAGCGAGAAGAGTGGGATGTGGCGCACAGTTGAGAGGGCAAGATGGCTGGGAGCAGAACGGGAGCTGTGAGGCTATCGTCTTCAACCGATAGTAGACAAGGCATGCCTACATAAGGTGGCCCAACGCACTGTGCCTACCAGAGAGTAAGTGGAGGTGGAAAGGGGTGGGAGGGAAGGAAAGGTGGGACGGAGGGATCGGGGAGAAAATTGGGAAATCAGGAATCTAAGACGTTTTATATGTCGTTCCATATATTTGTCGAACCAGCCAGATATGCTTCTGCCTTGAGGCTCGACGGGGCAGAAAGGAGTAGATGGGAATGGGGAGGGTGGGTAGTGGGGTGTGGGAGGGCAGCGGGTGTGGCTTATAGAGAAGTTTGGAGTGCAGAAAGCAAGTGTGAGGCCAGCTGGTATAGTTTATCTATAGGGCTTTTGTAATACTTTCATGTCATCTGCGAATCACGCTGTCGGTGACACGAACTGCCGTGTGACACCAGCTTCTGTGTGCCATTTCCACTCAGTGAGTGACAAAGTGAGTGACACAAACAGTGGGAGTGGGCGACACAAAGTGTGGGTGACACAATCAGGGGATGGCGCAGCTAGTGGAGCCACAAAGCTAGGAACAAACAGGGAACGATGCCAAAGAGGAGCAGCAGCGGGAAGAAGCAATGGGGAGCAGCACAGCGGAGCAGAAGAGGAGCGTACCGAAATGAAGCTGGCCTCTGCTTCAGCCAGCGCTGCTCGAAGGGGTGTGAGAAGGAAGAGAGGGGGGAGAGAGGAGAGGGGAGAGAGGAGAGAGGAGAGGGGGAGAGGGGAGAGGAGAGGGGAGAGGGGAGAGGAGGGTAGAAGAGGAGCGTACCGAGATGAAGCTGGCCTCTGCTTCAGCCAGCGCTGCTCGAACCTGCCGTGCGGCAAGGGGGGTCTCGCGGAGGGAGAGCAGGGAGCGGGGAAGGAGGGAGAGCAGGGAGCGGGGAAGGAGGGAGAGCAGGGAGCGGGGAAGGAGGGAGAGCGGGAGCGGGGAAGGAGGGAGAGCAGGGAGCGGGGAAGGAGGGAGAGCAGGGAGCGGGGAAGGAGGGAGAGCAGGGAGCGGGGAAGGAGGGAGAGCAGGGAGCGGGGAAGGAGGGAGAGCAGGAGCGGGGAAGGAGGGAGAGCAGGGAGCGGGGAAGGAGGGAGAGCAGGGAGCGGGAAGGAGGGGAGAGCAGGGAGCGGGGAGGGGAGAGCAGGGAGCGGGGAAGGGGGAGAGCAGGGAGCGGGGAAGGAGGGAGAGCAGGGAGCGGGGAAGGAGGGAGAGCAGGGAGCGGGGAAAGGAGGGAGAGCAGGAGCGGGGGAAGGAGGGAGAGCAGGGAGCGGGGAAGGAGGGAGAGCAGGGAGCGGGGAAGGAGGGAGAGCAGGGAGGGGGAAGGAGGCGAGAGCAGGGAGCGGAGCGGGGAAGGAGGGAGAGCAGGGAGCGGGGAAGGAGGGAGAGCAGGGAGCGGGGAAGGAGGGAGAGCAGGGAGCGGGGAAGGAGGGAGAGCAGGAGCGGGGAAGGAGGGAGAGCAGGGAGCGGGGAAGGAGGGAGAGCAGGGAGCGGGGAAGGAGGGAGAGCAGGGAGCGGGGAAGGAGGGAGAGCAGGGAGCGGGGAAGGAGGGAGAGCAGGGAGCGGGGAAGGAGGGAGAGCAGGGAGCGGGGAAGGAGGGAGAGCAGGGAGCGGGGAAGGAGGGAGAGCAGGGAGCGGGGAAGGAGGGAGAGCAGGGAGCGGGGAAGGAGGGAGAGCAGGGAGCGGGGAAGGAGGGAGAGCAGGGAGCGGGGAAGGAGGGAGAGCAGGAGCGGGGAAGGAGGGAGCCAGGGAGCGGGAAGGAGGGAGAGCAGGGAGCGGGGAAGGAGGGAGAGCAGGGAGCGGGGAAGGAGGGAGAGCAGGGAGCGGGGAAGGAGGGAGAGCAGGGAGCGGGGAAGGAGGGAGAGCAGGGAGCGGGGAAGGAGGGAGAGCAGGGAGCGGGGAAGGAGGGAGAGCAGGGAGCGGGGAAGGAGGGAGAAAGGGAGCGGGAAGGAGGGAGAGCAGGGAGCGGGGAAGGAGGGAGAGCAGGGAGCGGGGAAGGAGGGAGAGCAGGAGCGGGGAAGGAGGGAGAGCAGGGAGCAGAGAGGCAAGAGGGGGAGGGGTGATAGGGGACGGTGAGTGCAGATAAATGGATATGGGGAAGAGGCAGTGCATCTATGAGGGTGCGTTGTGTTGACTGTGTTGTGCACACTAACTGTGACACGGAGGGAGACATGCAGCAGGAGGGAGAGAAACATGGAGAGGATGAGATTCGTGGTTGGAAGGACAGGCGTGGAGAAGGATGAAGAGGCTTGAGGAGGGGTGATGAGGGAGGGGCAGGGGGGAGGGGCAATGGTGGGGAGGGGCAGAGGGAGGGTTTAGAGGGGAGAAGGGAGAGGGGAGAGGGGAGAGGGGAAATTGCACACAAAGGGATATGGAGAAAGAGGAACGGAATTGGGATCAAAACTGAGTGGAGAGTGTGATTTTCCCAAAAGTGATTCAACTCGCAGGGATGCGTGAAACGAGTCGGTAAGAGTGCAGCAAGAGGACAGAAGGTCGTGCAGCAAGAGGACAGAAGGTAGTGCAGCAAGAGGACAGAAGGTAGTGCAGCAAGAGGACAGAAGGTAGTGCAGCAAAGATGGAGCGAAATAAATTGGGGAAAGGGAAGGAAACGTGAAGCGCGAGGGGATGGGCAGGTGAAGGAGCACACATATGCACTTACATACTCACATACAGAGACAATGACACTCCTCACACATGCAATGCACCCACACACATGCACACACTCACATGCACACACACACACGCACACACACACACACACACACACGCACACACACCTTCTCAATCTCGTCAGGTGTCAAGCCAAGCAGCAACAACGCCTGCAATCACAGGAGGGGGTTGAAACAGGCGGACATGGAAAGGTGCACCATAGCACACCACAGCACGCCACAGAGAGATTGGTGAGAACACTTACGACGGATAATGCACTTGTGGATCGTGGCGGCACCTCACCTCCCACAGTGGCGGCACCTCACCTCCCACAGGGGCGGCAGGGCCATCATTAGGAACCCTTGGCTTCATATCTCTTAGGAACCCTTGGCTTCATATCTCTTAGGAACCCTTGGCTTCATATCTCTTAGGAACCCTTGGCTTCATATCTCTTAGGAACCCTTGGCTTCATATCTCTTAGGAACCCTTGGCTTCATATCTCTTAGGAACCCTTGGCTTCATATCTCTTAGGAACCCTTGGCTTCATATCTCTTAGGAACCCTTGGCTTCATATCTCTTAGGAACCCTTGGCTTCATATCTCTTAGGAACCCTTGGCTTCATATCTCTTAGGAACCCTTGGCTTCATATCTCTTAGGAACCCTTGGCTTCATATCTCTTAGGAACCCTTGGCTTCATATCTCTTAGGAACACTTGGCTTCATATCTCTTAGGAACACTTGGCTTCATATCTCTTAGGAACCCTTGGCTTCATATCTCTTAGGAACCCTTGGCTTCATATCTCTTAGGAACCCTTGGCTTCATATCTCTTAGGAACCCTTGGCTTCATATCTCTTAGGAACCCTTGGCTTCATATCTCTTAGGAACCCTTGGCTTCATATCTCTTAGGAACCCTTGGCTTCATATCTCTTAGGAACCCTTGGCTTCATATCTCTTAGGAACCCTTGGCTTCATATCTCTTAGGAACCCTTGGCTTCATATCTCTTAGGAACCCTTGGCTTCATATCTCTTAGGAACCCTTGGCTTCATATCTCTTAGGAACCCTTGGCTTCATATCTCTTAGGAACCCTTGGCTTCATATCTCTTAGGAACCCTTGGCTTCATATCTCTTAGGAACCCTTGGCTTCATATCTCTTAGGAACCCTTGGCTTCATATCTCTTAGGAACCCTTGGCTTCATAACTCTTGGGAACCCTTGGCTTCATATTCTTAGGAACCCTTGGCTTCATATCTCTTAGGAACCTTTGGCTTCATATCTCTTAGGAACCTTTGGCTTCATATCTCTTAGGAACCCTTGGCTTCATATCTCTTAGGGAACCCTTGGCTTCAGATCTCTTAGGAACCCTTGGCTTCATATCTCTTAGGAACCCTTGGCTTCATATCTCTTAGGAACCCTTGGCTTCATATCTCTTAGGAACCCTTGGCTTCATATCTCTTAGGAACCCTTGGCTTCATATCTCTTAGGAACCCTTGGCTTCATATCTCTTAGGAACCCTTGGCTTCATATCTCTTAGGAACCCTTGGCTTCATATCTCTTAGGAACCCTTGGCTTCATATCTCTTAGGAACCCTTGGCTTCATATCTCTTAGGAACCCTTGGCTTCATATCTCTTAGGAACCCTTGGCTTTCATATCTCTTAGGAACCCTTGGCTTCATATCTCTTAGGAACCCTTGGCTTCATATCTCTTAGGAACCCTTGGCTTCATATCTCTTAGGAACCCTTGGCTTCATATCTCTTAGGAACCCTTGGCTTCATATCTCTTAGGAACCCTTGGCTTCATATCTCTTAGGAACCCTTGGCTTCATATCTCTTAGGAACCCTTGGCTTCATATCTCTTAGGAACCCTTGGCTTCATATCTCTTAGGAACCCTTGGCTTCATATCTCTTAGGAACCCTTGGCTTCATATCTCTTAGGAACCCTTGGCTTCATATCTCTTAGGAACCCTTGGCTTCATATCTCTTAGGAACCCTTGGCTTCATATCTCTTAGGAACCCTTGGCTTCATATCTCTTAGGAACCCTTGGCTTCATATCTCTTAGGAACCCTTGGCTTCATATCTCTTAGGAACCCTTGGCTTCATATCTCTTAGGAACCCTTGGCTTCATATCTCTTAGGAACCCTTGGCTTCATATCGCCCCCCTCCTGTACCACGACACCATCATCTCCGAGTGCCCACCCCGTCGAGGGCATAATCATCGCACCCCGACCACAGTCTCTCCCGTCGCCCGGCCTCCGCCCTGCGGGCCACATTCCCTTCTCTCCACCCCCCCTTCTCCTTATCTCTACTCCACAGCCCCCACATCTCCTTATCTCTAGTCCACAGCCCCCACATCTCCTCCCCAACCCTCCTCATCGCCAGTCCGCATTTCCCGCATCTCCCCTCCTCCCCCGTTCAGCTCCAGACCCACATTCTCACCCACCCCCTACACCCCTCCCCGCCCCCTGCCACCCCCCACCCCCCGCCCCCCCTCCCCCCCCCACCCCTACCTCAGGCCCAAACGCCTCTGCGTCGTCAGTGAGAGGCACGATGCCTTCGACCTCCTCATCGCTGTACCCCAGCGGCTCCTCCCCTGATACTGCCAGCCCCCACGGCTGCCCCCCGCCCTCGCCACTGCCGCTGCCTGCGACACACCATGAAGAAGGAGGAGAGGGGGGGGGGGGGGGGGGGTGGGGGGGGGGGGGGGGGAGGGGGGGTATTGAGGGCGTGAATCAGCAGCACGGTCTGGCTGGCCCTTCGTTGCCCTCCCTCTCCAGCAGAGATTCTCCCCGGCGCTGCCACTCTCGACGAGAAATAAGAGTTGCTTTGAGACGTCTCAGAACAACACTCATTTCTCGTCGTCTGCCTGCCTGGCCCTCCCTTCCTTTCCTTCACCAGCGGAGATCCCCCCCCCACACTGCCACTCCCTACTGCTTGCCCCAGCTACGTTGGAGTTGCTTTTGAGAACTCTATAAGCTGCTTCACCAGCGGAGATTCTCCCCCACGCTACCACTCCCTACTGCTTGCCCCAGCTACGTTGGAGTTGCTTTTGAGAACTCTATAAGCTGCTTCACCAGCGGAGATTCTCCCCCCACGCGACGCTGCCACTCTCTACTCTCACCAATCGACAGCTGCCGCCCAGCTGTTGACTGCTGCCAGTGGAACATGATTACGAACGGATAGGGCAGGACGGGGAGGGAGGGATGGAGAGGAGGGGTGAGGGGGAGGGAGGCGGGAAAAGCAGGCGGAAGCGAGACGAGGGGGGTGGTAGTTGAGAAACAAAAGCGTCAAATCATGCCATGCCCCGCCGTATACCGCCTCGCTACCCACTGGGTCAAAACGAGGGTGTTATTTGGGCGCGGCGGATGCCCTTCAGGACTAGCCCACGGGCAGATATTTTTTTTAGAATTCTCAAAAAATCCCCACGGGCGGTACTTGCCGCCCTTCCCATCGCTGCGCTTCAACGGCTTCTCTGACACAAGACACGTGTCCACCCTGCTGTTGTCGCCAAAGTGCTGCCTGTGACTTGGGGATGAGGAGAAAGAGACTGCCTCCTCCGTCCGACCGCCCGTCCGACCGCCTGTCCGTCCATCTGTGCTTCCATGCACCCTGCCAACACCCTCCTACTATCTGTCCGCCCGTATCACCTTGCACCGCGTCCCACAGCGACGTGCGCGCCACCACGGCGCCGCCTCGCCACGCTGACCGACCCACGCCGCGGCCTGGCACACCTCGCGATGGCCGTCCGATCGGCATGGACGACCGAATCGACGGCACACGGGGCGATGGCAATGGTGCTGGCGAGGCGACGCGTTGGTGCAGCGGATGCAGCAGCGATGCGGAGCAGCCGTAGTGAAGCAGAGCCATGGCGCGAATGCACGGGAGGAGGTGAGGATCGACGGGATCGACGGGATCGGTGATGCGAGGTCGCGGATGGACGAACGGCCACAACGCACCAGGCGGCAAATGGGAGCGAGTGGGTTCGTGGGGTTGGGAGCGCGTTCGGCGCAGGAACGTCAAGCGAAAGCGGCTAGGGATTGGAGCAACAGCAAGCTTCTGCACTCGCTTTTTTCCTTTCTTTCTTGTCGTTTTACGTCAGTTTTTGCGTGTAACAGCCGCGGAAGTAGAACGCCTAGGTGGGTAGGCGGTGCTACTGCGGATGAAGTGACGCGAAGGGAAGGGAGATTGAGCGCAGAACACGGAACCCCCACAGACGGAGAGGTAGAAGTTGTGAAGAGCAACTCGAGAGGGCGGAAAGTGACCCGCTTGTGGTGGCGATTTTGTGGAAGGCGACTTGTGAAAGTGACTCGAGCGTATCATATTCGACTCCAACAATTTCACAAATAAATTAGTCCTTAGTCAAGAAACGTAAAGATTGTATAGCCATATTTTACAGGTAATTAAATTGTACACCGTAGTAACGGTACAGAGTGCGCAAGTGTATATCGCATCACTGCTCATTCTTACCAACGGCCTGACCAGGACAGCGTAGCGCCACTGCTCACCCGGAGGCCAGAACGCCATTTTCAACTTCCCGCCACTCGCGCCATCATGGCTCCTGCCGCCGCCATTGCTCCCTCGCCCGCCTTCCGCCTCTCCGCCATCGCTTCTCTTTCCGCGCGGTTCCGCGCCTCTTCCCCACTTGCCGCCATCCCCGCTGCAAGCTCCGCTGGAGTTCAGCGCCGCAATGCCGCAAAGAGCGTTTTCGCAACGGTAGGCGACGCCGCGTCGCCAATGGAAGTGCGACGAGGAGGCCCTCCGTCGTCGCCGTCGTTGTCGTCAGCGAGCGACGCGCGTCGCATCCCGCGGGGAATTGCGGCTCGTGCCGCACAGCACTCCGTCGTCGCGGCGACGGCGGCGGCGGGGGATGCGGCGAGCCTCCCCGAGGCGCTGCTGTTCGACTGCGACGGCGTGCTGGTTGACACGGAGAGGGACGGCCATCGCGTGTCGTTCAACCAGGCGTTCGAGGAGGTGAGGCGGTGGCATGGGGGCGAGGGGAGTGGGGGTGCAGGGGAAGGGGGAGAGGAGAGAGGAGCGGTATGTGTGCGCTGCTGTTCGACTGCGACGGCGTGCTGGTTGACACGGAGAGGGACGGCCATCGCGTGTCGTTCAACCAGGCGTTCGAGGAGGTGAGGCGGTGGCATGGGGGAGGGAGAGGGTAGGGGGAGAGGGAATGGGGAGATACATGTGTGCTGTGACTGACTGTCGGTCCGTTTTTGAGTCGACTCAAAAATCACCTCGAGAGGGCAGGGGGAGGGGGAATGGGGAGATACGTGTGTTGTGTGACTGTCGGTCGGTGCTGGTGCACACGGAGAGGGACGACCACCGCGTGTCGTTCAACATCAACTAGGCGTTTGAAGAGGTGAGAGGGTTGCGCGGGGCAAGGGAAAGGTAGGGGAGGTGGAGGGGGGGGAAGAGGCATGTGCTGCGCTGTGTGTGACACGGAGAGGGACGACCACCGCGTGTCGTTCCACATCAACTAGGCGTTTGAAGAGGTGAGGTGAGAGGGTTGCGCGGGGCAAGAGGAGGGGAGGGAGGGGAAGGGGGAAATATGCGAGCTGTGTGGTTGTCGTTAAGTGCTGGTGGACGCAGAGAGGGACGACCACCGCGGGTCGTTCAACCAGGCGTTTGAAGGGGTGCGACTGTGTTACTACCAGCTAGCACAACCAGGCGATACCTGGCGGTGAGCTGGTGACTAGGTTCGGGCCGTGCACATGGCTTGGAAATGCCATCGCTATGGCTAGCTACCTGCTACTCACTCTCTCTTTCTGCTTCACCCCCCCTCGCCTGCAATGCAACGGGCGTACTCCACATGCACCACGAGCAGCACGAGCACCACCTGGGTCCATCCATTCAATACCTACAACAATGTGCACTAGGCCCAGGAAATGGGAGCGAGCGGGCGTGAGCCGTTTGCTCCGTGGGGAGCTGCACTCCGTGGGGAGCTGCTCTCCGTGGGGAGCTGCTCTCCGTGGGGAGCTGCTCTCCGTGGGGAGCTGCTCTCCGTGGGGAGCTGCTCTCCGTGGGGAGCTGCTCTCCGTGGGGAGCTGCTCTCCGTGGGGAGCTGCTCTCCGTGGGGAGCTGCTCTCCGTGGGGAGCTGCTCTCCGTGGGGAGCTGCTCTCCGTGCGGAGCTGCTCTCCGTGGGGAGGTGCTCTGCTCTCCGTGGGGAGGTGCTCTCCGTGGGGAGGTGCTCTCCGTGGGGAGGTGCTGAGGCTTGAGCAACTGCCAGCCAGCCCATGTCTCTCCTCATCCTCATCCTCTGTTCCCGCGATGCCGCACGATGCCCCTCATTCCAATCCCTCCCTGTCGCAGAAAGGGCTGGGAGTGACGTGGGACGTGCCGCTGTATGGCGAGCTGCTCAATGCTGCTCTCTCCTCATTCTCTCTCCCCTCTGCCACGCTGCTCTGCTCTGCTCTGCTGTGCTCTGCTCTGCTGTGCTCTGCTCTGCTCTGCTCTGCTGTGCTGCGCTGGCTCGTGCTCGCAGAAAGGGCTGGGAGTGACGTGGGACGTGCCACTCTATGGCGAGCTGCTCAAGATTGGAGGCGGCAAGGAGCGGTATGCACTGCAACATGCATGCACGCACACTTCCTCGCATTCCATAGATCCCTGATTTGACATTCTTCTTTCATGCTTACTATACACCCTCTCATGCGTTTGTCAGCACATCTTTGAAGCTCTTTGCTGACTCCCCTGCAAGGGCAATCAGTGGCAGAAACGAGCGGTCGAAACTGGCTGCTGGCACTCACATCACACATCCCTCACGTTCTCCTGCCGCGCTTTCCTTTCCTCCGTTCTTCGTCCGACGCCGGGCCAAATCTTCGCTCCTCTCTTTCCTCCCCTTTCACCCATCTCTCCCCCCCCTCTCATCCTGCCCAGAATGACCCACTACTTGAATCAAGTGGGCTGGCCGGCCCCAGGCAGCCCCCACGGACCCCGCAGAGCAAGCAGCCTTCGTGGCGGGGCTGCACAAAAGCAAGACAGCACATTTCAATGCCCACTTGCATCCCCCTTTCTCCCCCCCTATCTTCCATCTCACCCTCGCTTCCCTTCCCAGAATGACCCACTACTTCAATCAAGTGGGCTGGCCACAAGCAGCGCCCATCGACCCTTCAGAGCGAGCAGCTTTCGTGGCAGGGCTCCACAAGAGCAAGACGGCACTCTTCATGCAGCTTGTGGAAACGGGTGCTTTGCCCCTGCGACCAGGCGTGGCACGGTGAGTGATAGTAGTGACTGTAACTGTGTGACTGTGTGTGACTGTGACTCTGTGGCCATGTGCCTGCATAAGAGCAAGACAGCGCTCTTCATGCAGCTCGTGGAGACGGGTGCCCTGCCCCTGCGACCGGGCGTTGCACGGTAAGTCATAGTGACTGTGGCGTGATTGTACGTGCAGCGCAGGTACTGTGTGATTGTGTTTCTGTTGGCCGATGGCTGTGTGACTGTGTGGCTGTGCAAGACGGCGCTCTTCATGCAGCTCGTGGAGACGGGTGTGCTGCCGCTGCGACCAGGCGTGGCACGGTGAGTCTGTGTGGCTGTGACTGTGATTCTATGACTGTGATTCTATGACTGTGATTCTATGACTGTGATTCTATGACTGTGATTCTATGACTGTGATTCTATGACTGTGTGACTGTTTCGTGTGACTCTGCAAGTCGCTTCTCTTCACACAGCTCGTGGAAACCAGTGCGCTGCCGCTGCTGCGACCAGGCGTGGCACGGTGAGTCCAAGGAACTGTGATTGACTTTTGAGTAGTGTGTACCTGTGTTTGTACCCCCCTCAAAAGTCAACTCGGTGAGTCCAAGGAACTGTGATTGTATGTGCAGTGGAGGTAGTGTGTACCTGTGTTTCTGTGCGCCTATGACTGTGCGACGGAGCAAGACGGCTCTCTTCTTGCAGCTCGTGGAGACGGGTGCTGTGCCGCTGCGACCAGGCATCGCACAGTGAGCGTGTGACTGTGACTTTGGGTGTGTTGCTGTATCGTTGTGACTCTATGACTTTACGACTCTGTGATCCAACAAGTTCCTTCTCTTCATGCAGCTCGTGGAGACGGGAGTGCTGCCCCTGCAGCCAGGCGTGGTGCGGTGAGTCGAAGTTACTGTGATTGTGTGACTGTGGTTCTATGACTGTGTGCAGGTGGCAGTGTGCAGGTGGCAGTGTGCAGGTGGCAGCGTGCAGCACATTCTGCCAACGAGCTGGGGCAATGGGGCGAAGCTGGTGGGGGCGATCGTGAGAGTCATTCTGGGCTGTTGAGCCTGCACTTACTGCACTTCATACCACTGCACTTCATACCACTGCACTTCATACCACTGCACTTCATACCACCGCACTTCATACCACCGCACTTCATACCACTGCACTTCATACCACTGCACTTCATACCACCGCACTTCATACCACTGCACTTCATACCACTGCACTTCATACCACTGCACTTCATACCAACCACTGCACTTCATACCACTGCACTTCATACCACTGCACTTCATACCACTGCACTTCATACCACTGCACTTCATACCACTGCACTTCATACCAACCACTGCACTTCATACCACTGCACTTCATACCACCGCACTTCATACCACCGCACTTCATACCACTGCACTTCATACCACCGCACTTCATACCACTGCACTTCATACCACTGCACTTCATACCACCGCACTTCATACCACTGCACTTCATACCACCGCACTTCATACCACTGCACTTCATACCACTGCAAGCCAGAGCTGTGCGACCCCTCCCTCTACCCTCTTCCCCCCCAGCTGAGCTGATCGATGAGGCACTGGCAGCGGGTGTCCGGGTGGCAGTGTGCAGCACGTCCAATGAGAAGGCGGTGGGAGCGATTGTGAGAGTCATGCTGGGCTGTTGAGCGAGCTCTTACTTACTGCACCACATATCATTGCATCTCCTCCTCTCCTCTCTCTCCCCTCTCTCCTCCAGCCTCATTGACGAGGCACTGGCAGCGGGTGTCCGGGTGGCGGTGTGCAGCACGTCGAATGAGAAGGCGGTGGGGGCAATTGTGAGAGTCATGCTGGGGGAGGAGAGGGCGCAGCACATGCGGATATTCGCCGGGGATGTGGTTCCTAAGAAGAAACCCGATCCGGTGAGCAGAGCGCATTGAGTTGGATGTATGATGGAGACGGAGTGACGGACCAGGTGGGTCAGGGGGAGGAGAGGGCGCAGCACATGCGGATATTTGCCGGGGATGTGGTTCCTAAGAAGAAGCCCGACCCAGTGAGCAGAGTGCACACATGCAGAGGGCAGACAGTTGAAACTTGAATGTATAATATAGAGATGGGGAAGGTGGGGGTGGGCCAGGAGAGGGCGCAGCACATGCGGATATTCGCAGGGGACGTGGTTCCTAAGAAGAAGCCCGACCCGGTGAGCAGAGTGCACACATGCTGAGGTATCGCGTGTGTAGAAATGGATAAAGTGGGGCAGGGCGAGGAGAGGGGCTTCAGCATGCACATGCGGATATTCGCCCGGGATGTGGTTCCTAAGAAGAAGCCCGACCCGGTGAGCAGAGTGCATTCAGTTGAATTGAATGTGTCGAAACGAATAAGGTGGGGATGGGCGAGGAGAGGGCCAAACCAAAAACACATGCGGATAATTGCTGGGGATGTTGTCCCGAGGAAGAAACCCGACCTGGTGAGGAGAGTGCTTGCAGTTGAATCGAATGTATCATGTCGATATGGTTAGGGTCGGGCTGGGCAGGGAGGAGAGGAGCTTCAACAGGCAGGAACATGCGGATCTTCGCCAGGGATGGCATGTGGACGAAGGAACCTGGCCCGGTGGGCAGCGTGCTCACAAGCCAAGGGCAGATAGTTGAACCTTGAGTTGAGTGTGTCATTTAGAAATGGCGAAGGTGGGGATGGGCAAGGAGAGGGCACATATGCCCAGTATCGGGGTCAAGCACATGCGGATATGCGCTGGGGATGTGGTAGCCAAGAAGAAACCCGACCCGGTGGGCAGAGTGCACACATGCAGATGTATTTTGTAGTGATGGATAAGAGGGGACTGCGCGAGGTGAGAGGCAGTGACTTGTGAAGTTTTCATCCTATTGCAACTTCGTCAGGCATGTGGAGTGGATGTGGGCTGGCGATGTCGTACCAAATAAGAAACCCGATCTTGTGACGCATGGGCTAGCCAACCAGGAGGGGACCCTGTGTTGGATCCAAGAGAGGATAATGGTCGTGGCAGGAGAGGATCTCCTGTTGGATCTATGGAGCTATAATGGAAAAGCTGGGACTAGTGGGTTGGAAGAGGCATTGTGGCGGGGCTAAGTGCAGGTATTCACTGTGGCGGGGCTAAGTGCAGGTATTCATTGTGGCGGGGCTAAGTGCAGGTATTCATTGTGGCGGGGCTAAGTGCAGGTATTCATTGTGGCGGGGCTAAGTGCAGGTATTCATTGTGGCGGGGCTAAGTGCAGGTATTCATTGTGGCGGGGCTAAGTGCAGGTATTCATTGTGGCGGGGCTAAGTGCAGGTATTCACGCAAGTGAGCTCATGTTGACTTGACAGCCCTGCCGTCATACCCCCCGTGTTGCTCTTGCCCCTCATGCTCCTCTTGCCTTTCATGCTCCTCTTGCCTTTCATGCTCCTCTTGCCTTTCATGCTCCTCTTGCCTTTCATGCTCCTCTTGCCTTTCATGCTCCTCTTGCCTTTCATGCTCCTCTTGCCTTTCATGCTCCTCTTGCCTTTCATGCTCCTCTTGCCTTTCATGCCAGGCCATCTACAACCTAGCTGCCACCACTCTCAGCCTCAACCCTGCACGGTATGTTCCTTCACTTCACACCCATGCCCTCTCTGCCTCCTGCTCTTTTTCGATCGTTTCATTGTGCTGTGGCACAGAGGAGGCAGGAGATATGCCTCTGTTCACTCCTCTGCTGGCAGCTGTATGGCCATAGAGGACACTCTCATCCGGGTTTTTTGGGTCGACTAAAACATCTTTCAGTCAGACACTCCTTCAATGGGGCTGTTTCAAAGGATGAATATACCCTGCTGTTGGCAGTGTGGCTTGATAAAGGCCAGTCACATCGGCCTCACTGCAGAAACGGCTAAAGCCTCATCATGAGGCCGTCATGGACAGTCATGTCACCACTTCCCCCTTCGAGGCCCATAAACCATGTGACACACCCCCTGTCTCTCTCCTCTTCCCTGTTGGCAGCTGTGTGGTCATAGAGGACAGTCACATCGGCCTCACGGCTGCCAAGGCGGCCGGAATGACCTGTGTCGTCACCAAGAGCGGGTACTGCTGCCTCTTTCTCTATCTTCTCCCCCTCTCCCCCTCAATTGTCTTGTTTGTTTTGTTGGTCTGTTTGCTTTTTTTTTTTTTTTCCTGTTTCCCACCAGAGCTGTTCGTCCTGCTATGTTGCCTCTACTATCCTCGTTCTCTCGCTTTCCATGCACGCCCACCCATGCTCTTCTCAGCCCTCATTTTGTCAGGGAATGTTGACAGCTCGTTTTCCCCACCCTCTTCTCACCACTCAGCACACACGAGCGTCTCACCTTTTGTGCGACATCCCCATGCATTGAGCTTATTTCTGAGGCGCCTCAAGAATCAACCCTCCCCTCAGCACTCAGCACACACAAGCTTCTCGCCTTTTGTGTGGCGTCCCCCCCACTCTCCCCTCCACAGCCTCTCTTCCCCCTACCACCCCGGTTCCACCAGCTACACGGCGGACGAGGACTTTTCAGCGATGCGTGTTTGACGCCATTGGTGACTCATATGACTCGCACCCTGTGCTCCTGTTCTGCTGTTTCACCTACCCACCTTCCCCACCTGCCCCCCCTCCCCCTCCTTCGCCCCTCTCCCACCAGCTACACGGAAGACGAGGACTTCTCAGCAGCCGATGCCGTGTTTGACGCCATTGGTGACACTCCAGCTGACGGCTTTGACCTTCCATTCCTCGCCTCGCTGCTGTGATGCACCTTTCAACCACCTACCACACCTACAGTACCGCACAACACCGCCTCTCATCCGCCTGCTGCTCCCTGCCTCCCCTTACCTGCATCGCTGCTCCAGCCTCATTCATCCATTCCCACCTTTCCCTGTAACTAGATCTGTGTTTACAAGGGGTATGAATCGTGCAATTGGCCATAGAGTACGCATTCCAAGAGCAAGCAGGAAAGTAAGCATGGTACCGTATGCAGTGGCACAAAACTGATTCTTTTCTGTTTTATACCCAGTCAGAACTTTGTCTGAATCTGGTGCTGTGTAAATGGAACAGCTTATCGGTATGTTCAATAAACCCCACCCCCTGTCATCACTTCAAATCGGCAGTTCAAATGCACACCCCCCCCCCCCCCCCTCCTCTTCCCCCCCCCCCCCGAACACCCCCCCGAACACCCCCCCTAAATATGGCACGGTATGTTTAGGGTAAGTTGCAAGCAAACACTGCGCAGAGATTCGCCGAGAACGAGCATGAAACAGCATTGTAACCTCATGGGCAAACTGCCTGTCACAACATGGCAACCTTGCTGCCTTTGAAACATGTGGTTTCTGTTGGGAATAATAAGTCTTAAGCGCCTCTGTCGTGTCGAAACTCAGGACACTAGCGAAGCAGTCCGAATCAAAGCATCGCGAGTCAATCCTCGGAGGTTAGGGTAACCGCCTGGAGGTTACGCGAAGGTCAAAGGTCAGCGACCTTTGACTTGACAAATACAGCGCGACAGCAAGGACACACAACTGACTCGACATTGAGCAGTTGCCCGAGTCGCACTGTATCGAATCGCAACAGTAAAACGGTTTAAGCTTATCTATTCGTATTCCTTGTACTCTTATATAAACCTTTGTATTTGCTTGTTTAATCAACTTACTTTGCCCTCACATACTAGCGCAAGGTAGTTCAAGGACTTTCATTCAAACGCTTCCGCTATTACAATCCTACTCAGACTTTAAGCTCTACAAAGATCCCAGGGCACCTTTGCCCAACATGGTATGAGAGCGGTTAGAGTTTAAAGTTATTTTCCTTTTAACACTCAAATACAAGAAGACATGTCTGCAAGGAAGGAGAGGAGCTCCTCCAACGGCTCTCCAGGCACTACTCCTACTCCACCTCCTGCCTCTGGCCTACTGACAGAGGAAGGAACTACCACGAGACCAGCAGCTGGGTCCACGGAAACTCCCGCAGGCTTCGATCCAAGCATGATGGAGAAGTTCTTCTCCTTCATGTCCTTCTACGAGCAGCACCAGCAAGGAGTACCTGCGCAGTCAAACAACAGCAACAACAACAACGTGACTCCTATGAGCCTCGATGGCTCATCCTACGCACACGGGATTCAACAACAACAACAGCAGCCTACCTTTGCGCCGTACGAGCCCCAACGTGGCTCCGTCAGCTTCATGCCGCAACCGCAACCTGCACTGGGACAAGAAAGGGCATTGGATGCGTTACAAGTTCAATCGCAATTCGCGCATGTCCTAAAACTGCAAACGACAAAGCCTTTCGACGGCAAAGACTTCTTCACCTGGTCGTTCGAGTTCGAACTGATGATGGAAGGAGCACAGATTCTCGGCTTCTTCGACGGGTCCCTGCCATATCCAACAAACGGGACGCAATATGAGAAGCAGCAGTACACCTATCAATCAATGATGGCGTACACGATACTGCTAAGAAACATCACCCCAACCCAGCAGCAGAACATCAGGACTTACCGAGGCTGCGGCAACTCCGCGGAGCTCGCGTACAACCACCTGAAGAACATGTATCAAGCAACAGACAGCGTAAATCAAAGCAGGTTAATGGCGCAGCTGACAACGATTGAAATGAAACCAGGCGAGAAAGGCATGGCTTATATCAACCGCTGCCGCGAACTGCGCGACAAGCTTCTTCGATGCGGCGGGTTGATTTCAGAAGACGCCTTTGTCACGGTGGTCATCGGCGGTCTCGGCCCCCACTGGCGCTCCACTCGCGCCATATTACGAGCACACGGGAGGATCTCCGAAGCGGCACTCTGCGCCGAAATTCATGCTGAGCAGCAGGACATGGACCTGCAAGAAGAAAGACACAAGAAGAAAGCATTAGCACCGGAGTTTGCGTTTCACACTCAGCGACGATACAACGGCAACAACAATCGACAACAGCAACAAGTAAAGACGGTACCTCCGTTCTGCCACATCTGCAAGAGTTCGGGCCATCCTCGCACGCATTGCCCGTCTCGTCAGACAACACCACAGCGACAACTCCGGCCTTCAAGCTCCCAAGTTGCCTCAACGCAAGCAAATCCGACGACCACAATCCAAGCCTCAACAACTTCAACTGGACAACCTGCACAAGGAACAAGAAGCATTGTCAATTGCATGGTGAAGATAACTGATTCGTGCACAACCAAGTCACCACCCCACTACTCACCGGAAGAAGAGCTCGACAACAGGACGTCTCGCCGCGAGTCACTCCAGCCGAATCCAACGTACGCCGCCATCGCTCAAAGCGAACCGTCCGGGCAAGACACCTGGTTCTTGGATAGTTGCTGCGGACAACACATGTGCTCCTCCGGACGCTTCGTACAACGCGAACATCGACTCCAGCGAGAAGTAGTCATCACGGTCGCCAACAACCAGAACCTGCGCACACGACGACAAGGAGTAGTTCAGCTCCAATCAAGAGAGACAAACGTCATACTGCACATGTCAAAGGTACTCATCGCAGAATGACTCGGTTATAACTTACTGAGTGTTAGCCAGCTGATGGCGAAAGGGATTCACTTGGAAGCCGACAACACCACCCAGGAGTTTAAGTTATACCACGGGAAGGGCGGCCTCTACATCGGAAGAGCAGTGTTGAAGAATAACGTCTTCGTTCTTGATTTCGTCCCCGACCTGGGCACTGCAGACAGCGACGCCATCGTCAACTTCACCGACTGGACACATCCTCCGGATCTCGATCCCGACTTCAGCCTGGGAGGTTTCTGGTACTCGCACACCATCCTTGAAGCAGAACGAACACGAGCATTAGCAACGATTCAACAAACGGCAGCAGCAGAGACAACAACGGCAGCAGCAGAGACAACATCAGCAACAGCAGAGACAACAACGACAGCAGGAGAGACAACATCGGTAGCAGCAGAAACAACATCGGCAGCAGCAGGAACAACGACACCAGTCATCGTCGACGAAGCACCACCAACACCCGCACAGCAGCTGACCCCGACTCAACGAGAATTCTACCGAAGCGCCAAATTCGTCGCCAGCTTCTACTCCAACTCCGACGCGTATCAACGCTCACCCGGACATCGCGCCCCTGAAGACATCTGGCACGCACGCACAGGACATCCAAGCAATACGGTGTTAAATAACACAATACGAGCAGGAGTCCTAGACAAGGACTCACTACTACTACCTGACGGCAGAGAACTTCAACGTGCACGAGGGACTTGCCTCATCTGCCCCGTAGCCGACTTACCCCATCGACCGTTTTCTTCTCACCACAACCCGAGCGCACCTGCATACGCACCACTCGAAAAAGTATACAGCGACATCCTCTTCAATCAAGAACCAGGACAAGTCACCTACAATTACACGATCACCTTCATCGACGCCGCCACCCGATACGTCTGGCATCGAAACCTACCCAGCCGCGACATGGCACTCGCAGCGTTCGCAACCTGGCTACCGATAGCAGAAAGGGAATCAGGAACACAGCTGAAAAGCTTCCAGTCAGACGGAGGTGGCGAATACACCTCTCAGCGCTTCAAGCAGTACCTGGCGGAAAGGGGAATCAAGCAACTCCTCTCCCTTCCCTACGCCCATCAGCAGCAAGGTGTGGCAGAAAGAATGAACAGGACTCTGCAGAATAGCATGCGCAAGCTGCTACGTGGCATGCGGCTACCCAACCACCAGTGGCCAGCAGCAATGGACCATGCTGTCATGCTGCACAACTTGCTGTCGTCGTCGTCACTCCCGAACAACGCATCACCGCATCTGCTGTGGACACGAAAACAGGGCAGCACAAAAATGTTACGAGTTTTCGGGTGCATGGTACAGTACCGACCCCCAGAAGCATGAGCGGGAAGATTTTCGCAACGGGCACAGTGGGGACTACACCTCGGCATCGAGAAAAATTACAACGCGTGGAAAATCTTTGATGTCCACTCAAAGGAAACAGTAGCAGCACGTGATGTGATCTTCTACGAGCGACTCACCCTTCAAACGTACCTCGCCAACTTGCACGAGAATCAGGACCCCACAGGTGGCTTTCGTGGTGACCGAGCCTACGCCTCAGCAGCGGACGAAGTAGACTGGGATGAACAGAACGTAGACAACGCATCGGAAGAAGCCGGACCTCTCCCGTTCGGCTCCGTCGACGTGCCCATGGACGAAGAAAATCCTCGCGACAGTGTCAACGCCGAAGTCTTCTACCACTTCGCCGACAACGGTTACGTAACACCTGCGACAGTCAACACAAATGAAGCAGAAAGGATAGGGCCAAATTTCATACCCGATCCAGAAGCGGGAGACGAAGCAGCTTATCCCGAGGACCCAACACTCCCCCGATACTCACAGACTGGACTGCAAATCCTTGGTCTCGTCACCGCAGTCCACGGCAACGCACTTCCTAAAGAGCCTGCGACAGTTTAGCAGGCTCTGGAAGGGGAACACAGGGAAAAATGGCGTGAAGCCATGGACAAAGAATTGAAGGCATTAGAGGAACGCAACACCTGGAAGGTCGTTCCCGCAAGCGTGGCACGGAACAAGACCATTCTCACCGGGAAATGGGTCTTCCGCATCAAAACGAAAGCCGATGGCACAATCGAGAAGTTCAAAGCACGCTGGGTCGTGCGTGGATTCGACCAGGAGCAAGGACGAGACTTCACCGAGACTTTCGCCCCAGTTAGTCGACATACCTCTCTCCGAATTCTTCTCACCGTCGCCGCCATGAAGAAGAAGAAGCTGCGACAAATTGACGTCGCCAACGCATTCCTCTACGCACCCGTCGATGCCGAAATCTTCGTCGAACTCCCCCACGGTACCCACGGAAACCCCAATCAGGTCTGCCAACTACTGAAATCGCTCTACGGAATCAAACAAGCTCCGCGACTGTGGCAACAGCACCTACACACCCGCCTCACTCGCATCGGATTCCGCCAACTGCCTCACGACCAAGGAATGTATCGTCTCACCAAAGGCGCAGACTACATCCTACTGATCGTCTATGTCGACGACTTGCTCTACATCGGCTCCACCGACGACGTCACTACCTGGTTCGAAGGGGAGCTGCAGAAGGACCTCACGCTCACCGTCTCCTCCACCGTCACCCAGTACCTCGGGCTCAACATCCGCGAAGAGGAAAATGCTATCTACCTCAGCGCCGAGAAATACGCCGACACTTTTGCCAAGCGCTTCTCGCTCACACCTACCGCTATCGCCACACCATACCGCCACACGGCAGGAAGCGACAAAGGAAATTCCGCTCCACTCAAAGCTGCCGGAATACGAGACTACCAGAGGAAACTGGGCTGCCTCCTCTTTGCAGCCGTCACCAGTCGCCCGGATCTATCCTATTCCGCAAGCCAACTCACCACCTATCTCAAGAAACCCGAAGCAGAGCACCTGGCGGAGCTCGATCGCGCACTACACTACTTCGTGAGCACACCGACGATCGGCCTGACTTACTACAAGGGCGAAGCTACGAAGACGAAACTAATCGGCTACGTCGATGCTGACCATGCCGGCGATTCTGATAACAGGCGCTCTCGCACTGGCTACGTCTATCGTCTCGAGCCTATCGGACCTATCTCCTGGCAGTCGAGTAAGCAGGAACTAATCGCTCTCTCTTCAGCTGAAGCAGAATATATCGCCCTCTGTTCAGCCACCAAGGAAGGACTCTACCTTCGCGAGTTGCTGGAAGAAGCAAAGTTAGCTGAGTTACCCAACTTCACCCTGTTCTGCGACAACCAATCTGCAATTCGCATCGCCAACAAAAGCGGATTCGCGAACAGAACGAAGCATATCGCTCTGCGATACTTCTTCGTGAAGGACGAGATCGAGAAAGGGAAACTCGAATTATCCTACTGTCCCACGTCCGAGATGGCAGCTGATTATTTGACCAAGAAACTCGGAAAACAGAAGTTCGAGTACTGCATGCTGCTGACTGGACAAGGCCACGTCACCATCAGCGACACTCCAGAAGCGAAGGGGAGTGTTGGGAATAATAAGTCTTAAGCGCCTCTGTCGTGTCGAAACTCAGGACACTAGCGAAGCAGTCCGAATCAAAGCATCGCGAGTCAATCCTCGGAGGTTAGGGTAACCGCCTGGAGGTTACGCGAAGGTCAAAGGTCAGCGACCTTTTACTTGACAAATACAGCGCGACAGCAAGGACACACAACTGACTCGACATTGAGCAGTTGCCCGAGTCGCACTGTATCGAATCGCAACAGCAAAACGGTTTAAGCTTATCTATTCGTATTCCTTGTACTCTTATATAAACCTTTGTATTTGCTTGTTTAATCAACTTACTTTGCCCTCACATACTAGCGCAAGGTGGTTCAAGGACTTTCATTCAAACGCTTCCGCTATTACAATCCTACTCAGACTTTAAGCTCTACAAAGATCTCAGGGCACCTCAGCCCAACAGTTTCTGTGTTTTAATAACCTACGTGACACTTCCATTTCTGTATTCATTATAAGCCAAGTGTTATCAAACAGAATGGCAACTGTTGCAGTCGCTACTGTGCAATCATCACCTTGTGAGCACCTCCACCCCTGTCTCCGTTATAAGCAGGGTGTGTTGTGTTCAATCAGAGTGACTACTGGCATAGCCTATCATGCAATGCAATCATCACCTTGTGAGCACCTCCACTCCTGTCTCCGTTATAAGCAGAGTGTGTTCAAACTGGGCTGTCAAGGTGCCATCCGCAGTGACGGCCGTCCACCCATCGTCCCACATCACATCCCGCACCCCCCCCATCGTGAACATGGGCTCTGAGAAAGGGGGGAGAGAGTGGGGAGGGAGGGAGCAAGATGAGGGAGAGTAGGAGGAAAGGAAAGAAATGGCGGGAAGGGGAAATAGGCAAGGAGAGGGGAAGAGTGCTGGAACGAGGCTGCGAAGGTGTCATAAGCAGGTGTGCTTTGAGTCGATGTCAGAATGTTATCTTATGCTCTAGCCTGTAGTGGGGTGCTCTATAGCGAGTACAACCCTTCTAGGGTTTGCTATTTGTATCCCCCTTCTTGCTAGTGCAATCCTCTTTCTTTCTTCTAATTTTGTCAGTCGACTCTCACAATGCAGCAACCATGGATGTGTGCACATGTGAGTGAGAGTGAGTGCATGTGTGTGCATGCCATGCGGGTGAGTGCATGTGTGTGCATGCCATGCGGGTGAGTGCAAGCCGACCGAGGCATGCATGCATGCATGGCTCACCGATGGTGAATGTCTGCCCCACTTGCATGCGCCCTGGCTCGTTGTTGCCTGGTGGTGCAGGGGAGAGCGGCGCAGGGGAGATGAGCACAGGAGGGAGGGGCGCAGGGGAGAAGTGAAGGCGAGAGAAGCAGAAAGGGGACAAGCAGAGAGGAAAAAAGTAGAGAGTAGAGCAAAAGAGTGTAGAAGCAGGACTTGCGAAAGTGATGCGTACAGGGGAACAGAGAGGGAAACAGCTCTTGTCAGGAGAGTGCAGCACTAGGGTCAGGCCGATGCCTGTGCTGGTGAATGAGGGAGGTTGTGAGGGAGACTGGTGAGAGGAGTGGGGCCACGGTGGGCCCTCTGGGGGGCAGGATGGGGGGAGGGTGAGGGGGAGAAGTCACGGTAATGTAGCACGGCGGGTCCGGCATGGAAAACGGAGCCCACACCGGGGCCGATGAAGAGGTGAATAAGGGGTTTAAGCGGGGGCGAATAGGGGAGTGTACCAGGCAGATTAGTGGCGGGAGGAGGCGAGAGGAGGGTCAGGGGGCTGAACGCACGGTAGTCAAGCACTGTAGGGCTGAGCTCACGGTAGTCCAGCACTGCAGGGCTGAACTCACGGTAGTCCAGCACTGCAGGGCTGAACTCACGGTAGTCCAGCACTGCAGGGCTGAACTCACGGTAGTCCAGCACTGCAGGGCTGAACTCACGGTAGTCCAGCACTGCAGGGCTGAACTCACGGTAGTCCAGCACTGCAGGGCTGAACTCACGGTAGTCCAGCACTGCAGGGCTGAACTCACGGTAGTCCAGCACTGCAGGGCTGAACTCACGGTAGTCCAGCACTGCAGGGCTGAACTCACGGTAGTCCAGCACTGCAGGGCCGGCATGGAAGATGGAGCCAACAGCATGGCCGATGAACAGGTGAGGATGAGGGTGAGAGAGGGAGAATAGGCTGAGCGGGGGAGAGGAGGGGGCAGGAGGGGCGATCTCACGATAGTGCAGCACAGCAGGGCCGGCATGGAAGACGGAGCCAACACCATGGCCGATGAACTTCCTTACCACCCCGTAGCTGTGCTTGTCTGCCATGGCGCTGTGAGACGGGCAGCATGGGGTGGCGTGGAGATGGGTGAGGGAGAAAGTGGTGATCAAGACATGGTAGGTGCCTTCTCACCACACCGTACCTGTGCTTGTCTTGTCCGCCACAGCACTGCGCAGTGGGGGGTAGCAGGGAGAGGCGCGGAGATGGTTGAGGGATCATGAGATGATTACAAGATGAGACTTTCTTACCGCACTGTAGCTGTGCTTGTCTGCCACAGCACTGTGAGAAGGACAGCTGCAGCATAGGGAGGCGTGGAGAAGGGTGAGGGAGAAAGTGCTCACGGAGACTTGCACACCACACTGTTCCCGTGCGGGGTATCATTGGGATGACATCAGTTTGCATGGCATCCAAGTCATACACCATCCACATGCTATCCACATGCCATGCCATTCACATGCCATCCACATGCCATGCCATTCACATGCTATCCACATGCCAAGTCATTCACATGCCATCCACATGCCATGCCATTCACATGCCATCCACATGCCATGCCATCCACATGCCACCCACATGCCACTAACGTGCCACCCGCATGCCATCCACATGCCACTAACATGCCACGATATAACACCACATGGCATGGCAGCATGCGAATCGACACGCACATCAACCCTGAGGCGAAGAAACAAGAGCATGTGTGCACTGTGCCGGACTGCACTGTGCCGGACTGCACTGTGCCGGACTGCACTGTGCCGGACTGCACTGTGCCGGACTGCACTGTGCCGGACTGCACTGCTGGGAGGCACGATGGTGCGCCGCACACACAGCAGCAATTCATGTGGATGCAAGAAAGGAGCACAGCAGGGCAGACTAGAATGGCAACTGGCGTGCTAGACGGGACACTGGCTGGCATATTCAATGGCGATGGCACGAGATGCTTGGGTGGAGGAGGAGGAGGAGGAGGAGGAGGAGGAGGAGGAGGAGGAGGAGGAGGAGGAGGAGGAGGAGGAGGAGGAGGAGGAGGAGGAGGAGGAGGAGGAGGAGGAGGAGGAGGAGGAGGAGGAGGAGGAGGAGCAGGAGGAGCAGGAGGAGGAGGAGGAGGAGGAGGAGGAGGAGGAGGAGGAGGAGGAGGAGGAGGAGGAGGAGGAGGAGGAGGAGGAGGAGGAGGAGGAGGAGGAGGAGGAGGAGGAGGAGGAGGAAGGGGGGGCAGAGGACGATCGTGGCAACATAGCCCCCCTTACTGAATGGCGTGGCCGATCTTCTTGAACTCGGCGTCGGGCCCACAGACTGCAATGGCTGCATTCAACGCTTCCTCTGTCACCTGGTGGCCCCAACCACACACACGTGAGGGGATGGGATGAGATGGGATGGGATGGGATGGGATGGGATGGGATGGGATGGGATGGGATGGGATGGGATGGGATGGGATGGGATGGGATGGGATGGGATGGGATGGGATGGGATGGGGTGGGTAGACATGGTGTGGTAAATTGATGCCAGGAGGAGAGTACATACACATTATATTAGATTGGTATATGGAGAATGGTGTACGAAGAGCGCAGCATGGGAATGTGCATGCAAGCATAGGAGCATGCACGCACGCACAGCATCGGGACACTAGGCAAGAGCATGGAATGGAGCCAAACTATCAAGCAGCGCGGTCTTTGGCACAAAGAAAAGCAATGAAGCTTCCTTATCCTTGCACGTCACACAGAGAAGCAGCTTCCTGACCAACCAGCCCCGTCAGCTTACCGTCAGTCAGTCACACCACTCTCGCACTCTCGCACATCACCTCCTCACCCCCCCTCACCTCCTCACCCCCCTCACCTCCACACCCCCCTCACCTCCACACCCCCCTCACCTCCACACCCCCCTCACCTCCACACCCCCCTCACCTCTACTAGTTTCTTGGCAGCTGTAGAGACGTTGCCGCAATAAAATGTCTTGGACGTGTCTCCGTGGTAACCCTATATACAATAGGGCGAGCGGAGAGGGGACATGGAGGGAGAGAGTAACACGTGAAGGGCTTTACAATGTGCCTTTGAGTGGTGACCCGGCAAGTGAGTCAGAGGGACAGGGATAGGGTAGGGTGAGTGAGAGCACGTGAGGAAGAGTGAGAGGTGGGGAAAAGTGCAAAGGGGAATGGAGAAGGGTTGTAGAGGGAGAGGGGGAGTGAGTGGCGAAGAGGAAAGGCGGAGCGGTTGGACAAGGGCGTGGGAAGGCTTACGGAGAGAGGGTAAGAGGGCAGGCGGTGAGCTATATGGCGAAGTGCAACACAGCGGCCCAAGTGGAGAACCCGCTAGTGGGCGCCCCAAACGAGGACATGTCATTCTGGAGCCTACCTTGGAGCTCCCTTACAGGGCTTTGTGTGTGGTTATATACGTGGTAGGCTTGCAGTCTTTGGAGGATAAAGGTACACATATGCATGCCTGTACTTTTGGAATTAAATACAATGACCGCTTGTGAGAGAGGGAGAGGGGGTTCAAGAGCGGGGAGGGTGGAGAGCTCACGTTAAGGTACACTGTGACGTCGATGTTGATTATGTCCCCATCCTGGTGGGGTGGGGTGGTGGGGTGGCCTCATTGCAGCACAGAAGCACGAACAAAATAAGAAGAGGAAAAGAAAGTTTAGCGAGCCAGCCAAGGTACACAGTGGAGGGTGGGGCGTTGAGGTACACTGTGACGTCGATGTTGATTATGTCCCCATCCTAGTGGGGTGGGGTGGTCACATTGCAGCACAGAAGCAGCACAGGAAAGGAAGGAAAGGTTGGAAATTCAAGGTACACAGTGGCAGGTGGGGCGATGAGGTACACTGTGACGTCGATGCTGATTATGTCCGCATCCTAGTGGGGTGGGGTGGCCGCATTGCAGCGCGGACGCAGCAGAGAGCACAAAAGCAGCACAGGGAACGAAAGGGTGGAGAGTTAAGGTACACAGTGGCTCGTGAGGCACTGACGAAGGTACACTGTGACACGACGTTGATTATGTCCCCATCGTGGTTGAGCGACGATGGGCGACACAAACAGCACCAAAACAAGAAGGTTAGCGTTTTGAGTCGACTCAAATCAAAGCATGCCAATGGAATAGAGAGCCCAAAGCATGCCAATGGAATCGAGAGCCTAGAGGTTACGCAATTGGAGCAGTGGGCGCGGCATTGAGATGCCAAGTGCATCACACTGAGGAGGAGAGGAGGAGAGGTTAATCTTGTGGTGAAGTTGGGCGTGTGAAAGGAGAAGTAGTTTTTTTGAGACGCCTCAAAACACGAAGTTTTTTTGAGACGTGTTAAAGAAGTTTTTATGAGACGTCTCAAAACGTGCATCACACTGAGGAGGAGAGGTTAATCTTGTGGTGAAGTAAGGCGTGTGAAAGGAGAAGAAGCACAGAGACTCGATTTGCACGGCGAGCTGTCCCTTGATTTCCCTTCACCAGCACCTCACCTCACCGCGTGAAAGGAGTGTTTTGAGACACACCGCGTCTCAAAACACCTTGATTTCCCTTCACCAGCACCTCACCTCAAAACACCTTGATTTCCCTTCACCAGCACCTCACCGGAACAGCTCCTGTGGATGAATCGTCTCGTCACACATGCAATGCAATCCAAGCCTGCTGCTCACCTCCGGCGGCCGCAAGTCGGGGATGCCATGCCATGGCAGATACATTCGTTCGCCGATGTGCACACAGACTTGGGGAAGCCCGCGTAGTTGACTTGACACATGCATGCCTACCTCCACAGTGGTGACCAGCTGAGCCTACCTCCACAGTGGTGACCAGCTGAGCCTACCTCCACAGTGGTGACCAGCTGAGCCTACCTCTAGCGGCCGCGAGTCGGGGATGCCGTGGCAGATGCACTCGTTGACAGATGTGCACACAGACTTGGGGAAGCCTGCGTAGTTGAGCGGCGAGGGGTATGCTCCCGCCTCTATGATCATCTCATGCACTGCACGGTCTATTTCGTCTGTTGTGACTCCGGGCTGTAAGGATGGGGATACGGAGGAGATGGGGGTAGGGCAGCACAGGGCGTGGCGTGGCGTGGCCATGGAGAGCGGCGAGGCGAGGGGTATGTGCCCGCCTCTACGATCATGTCATGCGCCACACAGTCGATCTCGTCTGTTGTCACGCCAGGCTGCGCAGATGGGAATGGGGATGAGACGGACGGGGATAGGGGGCAGCACAGAGGGGAATGCGCTTGCATCAATGATCATCTTGACCTGAGTGGAGAAAGACGCACGCGTCCTGCGTCTGGACGCTGCGTCCAGACGCAGAGACGCAAGACGCGTGTCCAGACGCAGGACGCACCCTGTATATTTTTTCCGGGCTGACCGGAAAAAAAATTGTTGCCCCAGCGCGAAATTGACCCTAACGATTTCGACGCGACGTCAATTTCGCGTCATGTCGACCCCCCCTAACCCATTTCGACCATCAAAAACACCCTAGAGGGTTTACCAAGACAATTCTCCTTCGTAAACCCGAAACCCTGGAAATTTGAAGAGGACGATTTTGCCTCAAATGTGTGCATCGTCCTCTCCCCCCCACCCCCCCTTCCCATACCCTACAACATCATTTTTCGGCTGCCCGGGGGTTTTTTTTGCCCTGCCCGGGCATGCGTCTTTTCATGCGTCCTAAAGGCCCTCCTCTAGCGTCCTGCGTCTAAGACGCTGCGTGTGGACGCATGCGTCCTAGACGCAGGCAGGACGCGTCTTTCTCCACCCGTGACCTTTGGGTCGACTCAAAAGTCAGCACGGAGGGGGAATGCGCCTGCATCAATTATCACCTCGTTCCCGCACCGTCGATCTCGTCTGTTGTCACGCCGCGCTGCGCTGTGAGGATGGGGGAAGCAGGTCAGTCAGAGCAGACAGGTGTGGTTGGGGTGGGAGCCCTTTCACAGACAGGTGTGGTTGGGGTGGGAGCCCTTTCACAGACAGGTGTGGTTGGGGTGGGAGCCCTTTCACAGACAGGTGTGGTTGGGGTGGGAGCCCTTTCACAGACAGGTGTGGTTGGGGTGGGAGCCCTTTCACAGACAGGTGTGCATTCGGACGGACTTGATCAGCCGGGTGGGGTAGGTGAGCTGAGGATTTGGAAGGCGAGTGCTGGTACCCGTCGCCCGCCCAAACCTTTACTTTCAATGGTCGTCAGCAATTTTAAAAATTAGAATGCTCAAACATGGGGCATAGCAAGCAAGCAACCCAGAGTACAGTACAGCACAGCACAAACGCCCTTCGGGCTGACTTCGCCCTTCGCCCTTCGAGTCGACTCAGAAGTCAGCTCGTTACAATGCAACCCAGAGTACAGTACAGTACAGCACAAACGCCCTTCCATCCCCCCTGCCCCCACCCACACCCAAACCCCCACGCCCAAACCCGCCCCCGCCCCCACCCGCACGCACACACACCCACAACACCACTAACCTTCACAAGCGTGGCGGCGTGGTCTCTCACGCGTGCTGCCAGCCGCCCCGCCTCCCCATGCACCACTCCATCAATCCCATACAGCTACATATACCACCCATCCCACCCACGCACCTTCACAAGTGTGCCGGCGTGGTCTCTGACTCGTGCTGCCAGCTGCCCCGCCTCCCTCATGCGCCTCTGCCCCTCCTCCCCATGCACCTGCAAGCAATGCCATGCCATACCACGTCATGCCATGTCTTGCCATACCATACCATACCATACCATGCCATACCATACCATGCCATACCACACCATACCATGCCATACCACACCATACCACGCCATACCACACCATACCACGCCACACCACACCATAACACGCCATACCACACCATACCATGCCATACCATGTACCAGCGAGACGGGAGGGTGTGGTGAGTGAGAGAGAGGGATTGGTAGCATGAGTGAGTGACGCTGAAAGTGATGCAATAGCAGCGCCTCCTGTGCCAGCAGCACCATGTGTGCCACTGCCAGCACCACGTGGCGCCACTGCCAGCACCACGTGGCGCCACTGCCAGCACCACGTGGCGCCACTGCCAGCACCACGTGGCGCCACTGCCAGCACCACGTGGCGCCACTGCCAGCACCACGTGGCGCCACTGCCAGCACCACGTGGCGCCACTGCCAGCACCACGTGGCACCACTGCCAGCACCACGTGGCGCCACTGCCAGCACCACGTGGCGCCACTGCCAGCACCACGTGGCGCCACTGCCAGCACCACGTGGTGCCACTGCCAGCAGCACAAAGGGGGTTGGGCAATGCAGGAGGGCATAGCAACATGTGGCTCCATCCATGCGAGGTGACTTTTGAGTCGACTCCAAAGTCACTTTGGGCAATGCAGGAGGGCACAGCACAGCCACCTGTGGCTCCATCCATGCTCCTCCTTCCCTCTCAGCTGCCAGTGACCGGGAGGTAGGTATCGCTCAGAACCACCCACAGCCAGTCAGCGCCTGTCAGAACCACTCAGAACCGCGCGTTCTTGTTCTCCATCGCATGCACCTGTGGCCCATGCTCGCACACACCTGTGCCTCCACACCGTACCACACCACAGTGCACACCTGAGCCTTCATGCGCGCTCACTCATACCACAGTGCACGTCTCACCCTCACACCACACCACACCACACCACACCACACCACACCACAGCACGCACCTGGGGCTCCATGGTAAAGGGTGGGGAGATGCCACTGTCAGCGTAGGGCGGGCGAGGGATGTGGGGGGGCACTGCGCGCATGGGGGACAGCTTTCCGCGCTTCAGGGGGACCTTGGGGCGCGACTCCGCTGGCGGGCCTGACATGCTGGGGGGGGGCCGGAAAAAGGGGGAACGGAGAGCAGCACCCGTGGCAGCGTTAGCTTGTTGGGGGGAACTGGGCGGAGGAGCAGAGGAGGGTGGGGGAAGGTGAGGTGAGGTGATAGCTGAGGGGGGTCGGATGCTGAGGTGATAGCTGAGGGGGGTCGGATGCTGAGGAAGCGGACGGGTTCTGAAGGGGAAGTGGGCGGGCGCGGGGATGAGTGGAGGGGAAGGTGAAACAGTTTCTAGCAGGAGGGACAGTGGGATGGGAACGCGCGTGGCAATTGTTGTTGGCACTAACATCACGTCACATCGCCGCCCTTCCGTTCGCTTCCCCTCTTGCACCTTCGCTCCCATTCATTCATGATCCACACGAATCCTCGGCCCCACCCAAAAGCCCTATCCCTCCGCCCTTCCCCTCCGCCTACCCCTTGGACAGCAGCTGCGCGAAGCCGGACTTCTTGCGCGCCATGGCCACTGGCGCAACGGGCTTGGGCGCGCGGGGAGAGGCTGGGGGAGGAGGGGAGGGGGGAAAGGAGGCGAAAGGAGAGGAGCAGCGAGAAATGGGAGGCCAGCGGAACGACGGGGGGGAGAGCGAAAATTGCGGGAAGTATTGGCCGAGTTGGCGGGAATTGCGCGAGCGAGCTGGAAAGGAATCGAATGTGAGAGATGCTGTAAGGCCAAGAGGGACTTCCGACGTCCGCGTCCAGAGAACGAGCGGGAAAGCGAGAATCGAGCGGGAAAGCGAGAATCGAGCGGGAAAGCGAGAATCGAGCGGGAAAGCGAGAATCGAGCGGGAAAGCGAGAATCGAGCGGGAAAGCGAGAATCGAGCCGGAAAGCGAGAATTGAGGAGTGTGCATCGAAGACGGAGAGGTAGAGGGTGCTCCAGCGAAGGCGCCACCCCTCAAAAGCGGTGAGAATTCGTCAAAAGCGACGTAGCGTGACAAACGCACCACGCTCTCCCAGCTTTCAGAACCCTAATGACTGAAACCTCCTCTGTACTGCCGACAAGCTGTGCTGGCTATACCTTGAAACGCTGGAACGGGAATGGACCCTTTGGCGAGTCTCGAATCGCTCCATAGCGAGGAATGCTGCCAGCCTAAATTCCCCGCGGAGCCCGCTAAAGCCTGCGAGGGCGCGAGACGCGAAGCCATCGCACGCGCAGCCATGGTTCCGGCGGTAAACGCGGGGTGTAGTGCGGCGCGCGATGACATAGAAAACTAATGGGTCGCGCTCGCGTCTATGTAGTCTTAGCCCGCAACCCGCTAGCGTGCAGTGTGTGAGGTGAAGGCAGAGGTTCGGCGGCAACAGCAGGTCAGGACGCATTCGTCGCAGCATCCAAGAGCGAGAACATCGGTTCGTGGCGACGGTCGTGATTGGTTATGGTGCGAACTCGCTGGGTGTCGAAAACCGGGTGCGAGAGCTGACAAATTGAGACGATCTCGCCTACGTTACCCGGTGTTAGAATGAAGAAGAAATTTTTCCTGTCTCCTTTGGACTTTGTTCTCCACCGTCGGTTCGCATGTATCGCACTGCCTTTAGCAGAGTTCCGTTCGGTTTTCGCTTTTCTCGCCAAACCTGACCTCAGATTCCCAAAGCGAATCTGATCCCGTGAGAGTAGGGATGTGGACGAGTTGCGAAATGCCCTCCTCATTCTGCGACCTTGTAGCCTGCCCTTCACCACTGCACACACACACTGTTTCGTAGCTTCGTAGTGGTGTGACCGCCGACCCGCAAGTTGCTCCCCGCAACTGGAGGCAGTGCAGACGACAGCGCCTCTCAAAACGACATTTACTCGTTCTGTCAGCAGTTCCCACGAGACGTCTCAAAACATTCTTCAATCAAACGAGATTCACTCGTTCTGTCAGCAGTTCCCACGACCAGCAGCACCTTTCGCTACGACGACCACGAAAGCTCCTAGCAGGATCGCGGCGGACGGCGTACGACATCACCTGTCAGATAACGAGTCACTCGTAGCAGGATCGTAGCGAGTCGCTTCGCTCTCTTTCTAACTCTCTCGCTAGCGCAACCAATCCTTCGGTCGCTCTCCTAGCGCTGGTGCAGCGCCTTAGCCGGCGGAAAGGCAGAAGCATAAGCGTTGGATAATGCAGAAGGTACGCGCGGCGGTATACGATCGTGCGATTGGTATACGATCGTGCGATTGGGTCTCGCTGATTCCCCGTGGGCACAACGAGGCACGCTAGGCATCACGATTAGAATCCGAATATCGCTTCGGATGTTTCAACAATGTCCATCATACCCAACGATCTTGGGCTAGTACCAGTTGAATCCAAGGTGACATGGGAGGATCAGCAGAACACACGGTGACAGACTCTGCTGTGTCCTTAATGCGGTTCACATCTCTGGTTTGCGCAGGGCGAGGGCGCGGACCCCGAGGTGACATGGGAGGACCAGCAGGAGATACGATGGCGGACTATACAGGGCTTTAATGTGGTTGTGCTTCCTTGCATGTGTGGTTGGTGTGGCAGGGCGAGGGCGCGGACCCCGAGGTGACATGGGAGGACCAGCAGAACATCAACAAGTTTGGGCGGCTCAACAACCGGCTGCACGAGCTGGACGACGAGATCAAAGCCAAGAAGGTGAGTGGGCACTTATCGAGTAGCTTTATATGGCTGTGTGGCGTGTCGCTTGCAGTGCAGCATGCGACTCAACAACCGCCTGCACGAGCTGGATGACGAGATCAAAGCCAAGAAGGTGAGAGGAGTTCGAGAATAGAAGGCTTGCACTGCAGCATCTGACCCAACACATCACTGCCCAAACCGGATGACCCAACTCAAGCTGACGTGGTTTCACAATGGCATACTTTGTTCGTTTAGAGGAACGCACCCGTATTTGCGTGACGGACCAACACCAGCCTAACCTACCCGAGTGGGATGGTGAAGCTGGCAAGCCATGCGCGTGCCTGCATGGATGGCAAAGATGCGATGCAAAGCCTGCTATGTCTGCGCTGGCTCACACGGAGAGCATGGAAGGCGCTGAATATTCCTGGCAGTGCAATACGTTGTGGAAGGAGCAAGGGGTGGTTTTCGAACGATGACGATGACAACACAGTGCTGTACCTGGCAGGAGGGGAAGGTTTCTTCTGTTATTGCTGCCTGTCCCAACCCCCCTGTTCCACCTTTGTGCTCGCTGCCAGGACCATTTTTGGACAGGGGAGAACTTGGCAGGGGAAGGTTTCTGTACTGTTCCTGCCTGCCCAACCCCCGTCTTCCACCTGTATTCCCCCCGATTCCTGCCTGTTGTGCTCCCTGCCAGGTCCATGTTCGGACAAGGGAGAGCATGGCAGGGAAAAGGAAAACGCCCAACTATGCAGGACAAGGCTCCATGTTCATCCCTGCATGTACTTCCCAACCCCCCCCCTCTTCCCTTTCCTCTTCTGCCCCTTGCCTGGACTACTTGGAGAACATAGAGGATGCGAGCAATGAGCTGACGAGACTAAGACACGGCTGGCATTCACGTCCTTGTTTCCGCCCCCTCACCTTGTGCTTTCTTCCCTGGCAGGACTACCTGGAGAACCTAGAGGATGCGAGTAACGAGCTGATCCTATGCGATGACGACACGGTGCGGTACATGGCGGGGGAGGTGTTTCTGCCATTCACGTTCTTCTCCTCCCCCCTCCCCCCCCCCACACCTTGTCCTCTCCCCCCTGGCAGGACTATCTAGAGAACATCGAAGACGCCAGTAACGAGTTAATCCTGTGTGACGATGACACGGTGCGGTACATGGCGGGGGAGGTGTTCCTGCACACAGACAAGGACGACGTGGAGGGGCAGCTGGAGGCGCTGAGGGAGAAGACGAGTGGCGAGGTGGAGGCACTGGAGGGGGAGAAGAGCAGCCTGGTGGCGCAGATGGGCGCGCTCAAGGTGGTGCTGTATGGGAAGTTCAAAGATGCCATCAATCTGGAGGAGGATTGATGGGGATGAGGGGAACGGGTGGGGAGGGTAGGCTGTGGGTTGAAAAAGAGTATGGTGGTGTATCAGAGGGCGAGGTGAAGCCTGAAAATGGTGCTGTACGGCACGTTCGAGTATGCCATCAATGTGGGCTGATGGGGAGGAAGGGTGGGAAGCTGGGGGAAGGGTAGGCTGTGGATTGAAAGAGAGTATGGTTGTGGCTCAGATGGGCGCGCTGAAGGTGGCGCTGTACGGCAAGTTCAAGGTTTGCGATCAATTTGGAGGAGGATTGATAGGGAGAGGGGGTGGAGGGGGGGTTAGGCTGTGGGTTGAAGGAGAGTATGGCTCTGTACGGTATGGGATGGGCAGGTTGAAGGTGGTGCTGTACGGCAAGTTCAAGGATGCGATTATCCTGGAGGAGGATTTATATGGAGAGGGGGTGGTGGAGAGTGGAAGGGGGTCGGGGCGGGGAGGCTGTATGTTATCTTGGAGGAGGACTGAGAGGGAGGTGGCAGAAGGGCCAGGGAGAGCTGGCCTTGTCTAGTCTAGAGATGATATGACTCAACCTGTGTCAAGTATTACCATAATGGTTATACCAGATAAACTACCGTACGGTATGTGAACATGGGGGGGAGGGAAGGGACGCCTGGAATTACCGTAACGAAAGCTCAAGGTGGATCAATGTGTACAGGTAAGATGACTGCTTTTTGCTTCATTGTATCAAAGCGCCAACTTTCTCTGTGATGAGAATGCACATTGTGGCTTGTGGCTAGAGCTCAAGGTGGCACATCGAAAACATTTGTTGCGCCCAGGTGCAAGGCATTTGCATCACTTCGGTACTAAAGCACGTCGGGTGGATTTGCGAAGAAAGCAACACATCATACAACTGGACGGGCTGGCATAAAACGGGTGCCGATTTCCTCACATACTACGGTATCACCCCGGATATAAGCGCATCTGCGCTTATAATAAAACACTGTTTTTTAGGGGGGTGCGCTTATAAATGAGTCATACGGTAATTATAAGCGTATGCGCTTATATAATGACAAACACAAAAATATGTTATAAACTCACCAAACTGTGCATCTGAGTCT